CGAAGCCCATCAGAATGTCTACCATGGCAACTGAATCCGATGTGCGCACCAACCGGAAATTACCGTATGTCTTATAAAAATAATGAGAAGGCTTTAAAATTAGCTGTTTTTATGGGACTGTACACCACTTTGGACTCCTAATAAATACCCCATCCCTTATGAGGTCTTTCTGAAGCATGATCTTAATTTCAAATTAAAATACGCAAAAGCCTTCTAATGTGAGACTAAATCCAATTTATTTTAACTCATGACACTGTAATATATGTTTAAAGATTACTTTTTTACATTAAGCAATTTTTCTAAGGGTTTATTTTAAAAAAACGGTTTCAATTACAGCTTGCATTCAATATTATTTTACATTAATTTCCTGTGTGTAGCATAGGGTTAGACAGTTATAGATTTACAAAGTTCCCCCCAATACTTCCCGAACCCAGTTGGCACCCCACATAGTTATTGCAATATTATTGGCCGTCTTTCCTGTGCTGCCCGTCCCACCCCCATAATTCTTTTTCAACTTCCAATCTGTCCTTCCCTCACCTTTCACCCCGTCTTCTAAACCCCTCGTTTCTGGCCACCATCAGTCAGCTCTCCGTAACTCTCAGTCTATTTCTGCTTGTTGGTGTGTTTACATTGTCCTTTACATTCTCGTGTCTTCTCAGGCCTCTGCTCCCAGAGCCCCCTGCACTCTCACCCCCGTTAGCTCTGGCCTGTACAGGGGCCACGTTTCCCACTCCTCTCGCTCGCAGCAGTCAAACACTCCCTCAGGGCACGGGCTGCTTAGGAATGTCCGGCACCTTGGGCCAGTGGAGGGCTGAGGCCCATGGATGGTGGAGGAATGACAGTGACCTGGCCATCAGGCTTACATCCTAACACCATCCCACTAAAGAGACTGCAGTTGGAACAGGGAGCAGCAGGGGGCGCTGTGGGTCTGCGTCAGGATCCAGGTGCCCTCAGCTGTCCAGTTCCCCAAACTCCCCAGGGCTGGGCCTTGGTGCCTGTGTTTGCTGATGGGGACTCAGGGGCTGTGTCCTCTGGGCTGGGCAGAGTCCTGCTCACAGACACGGAGAAGGTCCCAGCAGCTGCCTCCTCCCTCATGTCTCCCATGGGGACACTCTGAGACTCACCCTAGAGCTCTAGTCTGTCTAACAGCCCAGCTCAGGCTTGAGGGGTGGGGAGGGGGCGGCCAGTGTGGTGCAGGTTCTCCAGGAAGGAAACAAATTTG